AGGGTATACATTCGTCCGATTGCAAAAAGGGAGCGCAAACTACCTAATCCTTGTACACACACACACAACTACCATCTACAATATGCACAAGAAAACAAGTGATCCACACGAAGGGGATTCAAAAATGAACGGTGGTAAACGCGCACGCACGGGGACAAACGCAACGGAAAATAATAAAAGGAGAGAGTGAGAGCCTAGCAGACCGAGATATAAAACCAAAGAGTATGTCGTAGAGACGCAAAATGGACAAGCCATCGTGAAGAAGGAAGGGGAAAGTGGGTAAGGTGTGTGTGGGATATTAAGGTGGGTAGTAAGATCCGTCAACCACAGAACTCGGCTCAGTGGCACAACCGCAACGACAACAAAGGGGGGAAGAGTGGGAGTGGAGTTTAAGAGTGGAAAAGAGGAAAAGGGCACAAGAGCACAGCTGACCCGTGCAAAACAAATAAAACGACTGTTTTTCCACAGAGCCAGCCAGCCAGCCCGCACCACCCCACTCGACTAAACTCTAATCAACACGGCTCGCTCAGAGGGACCTCTTGACCATCCTCTTCTTGTGGGATCCGAGACCACGCTTGGCCCTGCGCTTCTTGCAGTGAGGCTGGCCGGACGAAGTCTGAGTAGCGGCGGCAGACGACGTGGTACTCGAAGCACCATTGTTATTGTTGTTGTTGTTATTGTTATTGTTGTTGTTATTGTTGTTGCCCGAGTTGTTTCCACTTCCATTATCATTGCTACCCGAGTTGTTATTACCCGAGTTATTGTTGCTGCCACTAACCCAGACGGTGCGTCCAAACGAGCTCAAGGAGCTGATCCCCACCGATCCAGGGTCGCTCCAAATATTGGGGTTATAATGTCCAGATTGGTTAACTTGGTAAGCACCCGGGAACTTGACCGCATTCCCCATATTCCACGTCCCACCCGACCTCGTAATCCTGATCGCCACACACGTAGGGTAAAACTCGGTCCCCCACGCATGTCCATTATCCCAGCTCCCCACCACCTTGTCCGAATAATGCAACGCCGTCAACTCGTTACGTAAAATGTAATCGCCCGTGGGTGCGTCGGGAATCTTGTCGTACCACGCTCCACCTTCTGCGAGAACGTGGACGGGCCAAGTGGATCCGTCCCATCCTTGTTGACCGGTGTATTCGGAGCCTAGTTCTGTGAATTCGAGTTGGGTGACGTCGACGGAGCCACAGTCGCCGTTGCAGGGGGCGAGGAAAGAACGGTGAGTGCCTTCGTTATGTGTCCACGTCTTGGCGTCCGAGCCAGAGTGAGTGACCCACTGCGAGTGGTGAGCATGTATATATTTATATATGTAAAAGGAGTCGACGTACGTGCCATCCGATGGAACCACCGGCTTCGATCTCGATGACGCCTTGTGCGCCTTGAGGATTGATACCACAGGCGATTTCCCTAAACACAAAGAGTCAGCGTCTACCCTTGAGAAAGAGTGTAGTAAGACGTGAGACGTGGGAGGCGAGCCCTAGTAGCAATTCAATGGGGCGGCGCCTGGCCAATTAGGGGACCGACCCCGAGCCCCACCAACGCACGAAAACACGAAAACACGAATAAAAACCACGAATAAAAGAAAAACGCTCACCTGGACCAGACATCGTAGGTTGGAGTGAGATAGTCGGTGACGAGGACGGGGGATCCACTGGGTTTGCCACCATCTTCGTTGGTGCCCCAGTAGGTCTGGCCGTTGGCCCACACTTGCTCGACGTACCCGTGAGCGGCGACTTGATTGACAGAAGCCAAGACGGCGATAGCAGCAGCGACGGTAGACGTGCTAATCATGGTGTACTAGAGATGAAGTTTGCTTGGATTGTAGGATGTGTGTAAAAAGAGTGACGGTCACGTCGTCCAAAAGGAATGTGAGAGAGAGTAGTCTCTTATTAATCTGCTTGTGTTTGCTGAGAGTCCTTGGTACGATCGTGTAGTTATTTTTTCCCTAAAAAACAGGAGAGAGAGAGGGAGGGGAGGAGCGGAGGGAAGAAAGATGTGAAAATAAACAAGAGCAACAGAAGCAGCGACGAATAAGAAGGTTCCCTCCAATTCCCATTCGGGCGGTGGAATAGAGTGGCGTCGGCCAATGAGTGCCGTCCATCGGGCACCCGGCTGGTCGTCGTCAGGCACATTCATCCGAGTGCCATTGGGCTTGCTCTCCTATTGTGCACTCTCCATCGTCATTGTGGAGCTAGCCATGAGGCAACAGTAGTCTTTCACAAGGATATTTTACAAGGAAAACGAAACAGAGAGGGAACGAGAGGAACGAGAGAGCGGCTCGTTGGGAGTGGGAATGTCATGATGGCAGCGTGTATACAGCCTGCTAACCACTAATCTCCGGAAACATACGTAAACGCTATTATTACACGTCCTTTTCGCACC